CTCTCTCTCTCTCTCTCTCTCTCTCTCTCTCTCTCTCTCTCTCTCTCTCTCTCTCTCTCTCTCACACACACACTCACACTCACAATAGACTTCAGTGTGTACTGACCCTGATGAAATCACACTCCTAGTTAGCCTAGCCTTTGAAACATACCTACTTACCATTCACCCTTCCTTCCTTCTTGATGTCCCTGGAATATTAACGATACACTATTGAGGGCTGTGAACAATGCTGTTTGATTGTGCTGTGTTTTTACTGTCACAGCTTTCCTTTATCAATAAGTGAGACTGGAAAATTCTGGATGGAAATGATTTTTTTTTTTGAAGGCTCTGGGGTATAACTGTCATGGGTACGAAGTGTTTTGTTTTGCTTTTTTGGCTTTTTAGTGGGGAAGGTTGTTTTTGAGACAGGGTCTCATTATATAGCCCTGGCTGCCCTGGAACTCACTCTGTAGATCAGGCAAGCCTTGAACTTACAGATCCACCTGGCTTTGCCAGGAATGCTGGAATTAGAGGCATTTTGATGAAAATGGATACAACTAAGGGTCTTTGTGTCACGTCTTTTGAGGTGGGGAAGAAGCTAGAGACCTCACTGAGCTTTGTCTAAAAGGTGTCACAGAAGAATCATTGTAAAACCCCCCAAAGCTCTTCTCACTAAAAGAAAGGGAGAGAAAAGGAAATGGAGTGAATGCCAATGACCACATTTGCATTCTAAATTTAAACTACTGTTCCTCCTCATCTTACTCGGAGAGTAGTAAAAATGTTGTTTGTTTGTTTGTTTTTAAAGACAAGGTCTCATTGTATAGCCCTGGCTGTCCTTGAACTCACTATGTTGATCAGGTTAGCCCTTGAACTAAGAGAGATCCTCCTGCCTCTGCCTCTACTGGAATAGGCACGAGCTGCCACGCACAGATGTTAAAGGTTATTTTGAACAGCATGTGGTGGTATGCTGATAATCTTAGCACTGTGACTGCTGAGACAGGTGGATGGCAAGTTTGAGAACAGTCTAGTCTGTATAGAAGTTTCCTGCTTCAGGAAAAGAGAAATGATTACTTTGAAGATGTAGCTCTTTTAGTGAATTTTCAGTCTTTTTTTTTTTATTTTCACATAGAAAGGTAGAGAGGAGGACAAGGGGCTGCTCTTTGGTCAGATTCTGCAGTGCTTTTCCAGCGTCAGTGACTAAACGCAGGGTCTGCAGATCCTTCACGAGCAGTGCCAAAACTAAGACTCCTCTGAGGTGGAGTGCTAGCCAAGGTGCTCTGTCTTATGCAGATGAGATTGCTGTCATTTGACAGAAAAATTTTAGGGCCAGTGAGATGGCTCAGCAGGTAACAGCAATTGCTACACAGGCCTCATGACTGTAGAAAGAGAGAACCAAGTCCTGAAAGTTGTTCTCTAACCTCAGTTTGCACGTCAGGACACGTGTGTGCCTGTCCCCACACATATCACACATACACACACACACACACACACACACACACACACACACATCTTTAAAAGTTCCCCAGAACCCTTCAGCTGTGTGTGAAGACAAGCTTACTCCTGTGTTTTGTCTTTTCCAGTATAAACGTCATGAAACAGCTCATTGGTTCATCTAACTTATTTGTGATGCAAGTGGAGATGGATGTATACACAGCTCTTAAAAAGGTACTGATGTTTGTCTACAGGAATATTACTTCAGGTTGCACCGCAGTGAAAAGCTGGAACACATGCTCAGATAGGCAGTGGAACTACACGTGCTGCTTGGCTTACAGTGGGTTGTGTCTCGGTAATCCATCATCATAAGCTGAAAATACCTAACCTGCTGAGTGCCACAGCTTAACCCCACCCTCCTTGAATGTGCTCCGAATGCTCATTAAGTGTCATGTGACTCCTGTAGTTTGCTCAGTTCTCTCCTGATGTGAAAGCAAGTGATCCTTGTTACATTTCTGTCACCACAGTTGAAAACCCTAAGTCAGTCCGCCAGGCCGTCTCAGACAAGTGGCCATGTGCCAAAACTAAGTCTTTATTTGGAGTTAGGGTTCATGACTGTCTTAGTTACTGTTCTATTGCTGTGAAGAAACACCATTACCAAGGCAACTTATAAAATAAAGTGTTGGGGCTTGCTTACAGTTTCAAAGGGTGAGTCCATGATTATCATGGCAGGGAGCATGGCAGCAGGCAGACAGGCATGGTGCTTAGAGTTTATATCATTATCAGCAAGAGAAAGACAGAGAGAAAGATTGGCCTTCAGTGGTCTTTTAAAACATCAGAGCCCATCTCCACTGACACACTTTCAAAAAGCCACACTCCCGAATCCTTCTCAAACTACTCCACCAGCTGAGGACCAGGCATTGAAATAAATGAACCTATGGGGACTGTTCTCTTTCAAACCACCACAAACCACGATACTTGGTTTTGCTCTTTCTCCTGGAAGCAGGGCCTCATTCTGCATCCCACAGTTACACATGTGTTGTGATTACACGTGTGAGCCCAAGCCCAGCTTTTTTTTTTTCATCCTTTTGACAGATTTAGGTCTAATATTGTTTCACAATAGAAAAAAAATCAGCTATGACTCTGACTGGGCATCTGTACTCAGAGGCATGCTTGAGGCAGCGGCCACTGCTCTTGCCCCACTGTGTCATCTGTAGTCCATTGTCCCTCTGCAAAATATAGTGTGCACTTGGCATAGTTGTGAAACCTGCAGTGAGAACCTTCCAAGTCACAACAGTTCTGTGGCCAAGGTGAGACTACAGTTGTTAGTTTTCTTCAAGGAAACTTAACATTTAGGCTGTTGAAAAATCGAGGGGGGGGTGGTGTCACACTTTTGTCTGTGACCTGCACTGGCAACCGTTCTGTTGGTATGCCAGGAGTGATGGGTGCTCACTCTGCCAACACCATGCTTATAAACACGAAATACACATTTTTTAGTGGCCTGGAGGGAGACACTCCACGACATTCTGGTTGCAAATTAAGAAATGTAAACTCAGAGAAATTTGGATATATTCAGCTCGTATATGACAGTTGGAGATTGAAATCCACATTCTTCACTGCCTGCATGCTGTCTCAGCATCAAGGAGTCAGAAGTTCCTCTTCCCATTTCATTTTCTTAATTTTGCAGTCTTATGGGTTTGCATCATATTTAGTGTTATTGATCTTTTAGTGATTAGAATATATTAGTGCAGAATTACCGATGTGTTATACATGTTAGAACTGTCAGTGTTTGATTCAGTAAGGTGTGTTTGCGACTATTAGACACACTTAATTTTCATTATTGGAGCTCCATTTCCTGCCAATGACTTGAAGCTTTAGTAGTTAGTCTTTCTTGCAGTTCCTTGTGAAATGGAAATTTTAGCCTTTATCTTAGGGTAGAGATGTAGCTCAGTTGGTAGAGTGTTTGCCTGGCATATAGAAGCCTTGGGTTCAATTCCCAGCACCTCTTAAAGCAGTGGTTCTCAACTTTCCTAATGCTGCAACCCTTTAATATAGTTTCTCATGTTGTAGTGACCGCCAACCATAACATTATTTCCATTGCCATCATAACTTATTTTACTACTGTTATGAATGTAATGTCTATATTTTTGGAGGTAGAAGTTTGCTACACACCAGTTGAGAACTGCTGTCTTAAACGGAGTATATTAGCCTGTAACCCCAGCACTCCACAGGTTGTTCAGGGTTATCCTCAGCTACATATTAATTTCAAGGCCAGCCTGGGCTAAATGAAACCTCATCTGAAAAAAAGTTTTTTTTTTAAAAAAAAATAGGACAGTTTGAAAATATGATCATAAAGTGAAAAAGTCTTATAATTTTCTTATTTTTTTTTCCCAAACTAGTGGATGTTCCTTCAGCTGGTGCCTTCCTGGAATGGGTCTTTAAAGCAGCTTTTGACAGAAACCGATGTCTGGTTTTCAAAGTGGAAAAAAGGTATATTGAAATTTTTATTAAGGATTCCCCCCCCCTTTTTTTTTTCTTTTAGTGATACTTCTTAAAATCAGGCCTTGGCTTTTGCTTACAGACTTGGTTTTAGAGCTGAAAAACAGCTGAGCAGATTGCTGCTTCAGTCTCTTAGTCACAGCAGGTAAGGCTCCTGGCCTGTCACCATATTCTGCCCCAGAACTATTGTTCTCCTGTTTGTCACCGGTTCAGCTGGGAGTTATACTTGTTTGTTTGCCCACATTAGATTTCCCCTGGGAACCTATGCCCCATCTCTCAGGCAGTGATTCCTTATGGGCCTATTTCCTGCTTCTGTGCATCACTGACTTAAAGTAGATGCAGAGGTGGTGTGTGAGCAGCCAGCCCTTCCTGGGGCTGGAGACGCAGCTCAATAGAGTGTGTACTGCTCTTGCAGAGGATGTGGGTTCAGTTCCCAGCACCGGCAGCTCACAGCTGCATGTAGTATCTGTCGCTGGTGTGAGTTAGAAGGATGGATAGCTGTCCCTGGTCATCATGTGAAGACCTCACATGTCCTGCTGACTTCCTTGGGAAGGAATATGAGAGAGAGAGAGAGAGAGAGAGAGAGAGAGAGAGAGAGAGAGAGAGAGAGAGAGAGAGAGAGAGACTCATGAGTCACTTCCTCAATTACACCCATCCTTCCATGCTATCCTATAAAAAAAAAAAAAAAAAAAAAAAAAGACAGCTGAGGTCTCACCTCAGGGGCCTAATTAGTACCAAAATTAATTTGAGAGATTTTTCAAAGTTCCGCTAAGGTTTTCCACATCTTAGATTTATAAGAGTCTTGAAAACCTTGGAAGTAGCTTACTAGCAGACTGTGTGTGTGTGTGTGTGTGTGTGTGTGTGTGTGTGTGTGTGTGTGTGTGTGTCCATAGAAACATTTAGCAAAACAGCACATTGGACAAGAATGCTGTTTAATTAAAACTTTCTTAATAGACTTTGAAGGGACGACTTTCCTTGAAACTGAGCAGGGAAAACCATTTGCGTCCGTGTTCAGACATTTAAGGCTACAGTACATTATCAGTGATCTGGCTTCTGCAAGGATCATTGAGCAGGATTCTCTGGTACCTTCAGGTAAGAAAGCCTGATGTGTTTGTGATTTGAAATCACGTTTTTCTGATTGTAGCATTTCATCATAGGAAAGAACAGAAAGAACCCAGGAAGTCATCTTTGATCCCATAAGGTATGTATCTTCATGCCCATGGAGATTAGCATGTGAATAATCTTCCTGTGTCCTTTCATTATTAAAGTGCCTGCCACAATATTTAAGTGACTAAGAAGCGTTTGCAGTAGAGTGTTTTGTTTGTTTTCTGTACTGAGGATTGGAATCGGGGGTTGATCCTGACTTCTGCTTCCCAGGTGCTGCCGTTAGAAGCAACCACACACTGGGCTCTGGGTATTTCTCAGGGTGGTTAGCCAGTGCACTGTTTTGGATATTAGCCTGAAAAATTACTTTTGATGTGTTTAAAAATTACAACTGCTTTTTCTATTAGTGCCCCTTAAATTCGCTTAGTTTCTGTTTTTTTTTATTCTGAATTCTTAAACATGGTGAATCAAGTATATCTACTCAATTTAATTCAAATTTCTTGAAACAAGTATTTATTTTTATGTCTGTGATATTTGTAACAAGTTGTATTTAGTACTGTTTAAGTACATTAGGGCATTTGTCCAGCGTGTTCAAGACCCAGGTTTTGAAGCAAAGTACAGCAGAAAGAGAAAAAGAAAGCAGGGTACCAAGCCAATAGTAGTTTTAGCGTGTACTACACACCAGGCAGAGATATAAACTAGATGCCAAAGCCTTTGACATGTCTTTCCAGTTCAACCTTCCTTAAGGTTCTCTAAAGATTTGTTCTAATTGTGTATGTGTCTTGTGTGTGTGCATTTGAGTGCAGGTGCAGGCCCTGGATGCTCTAGAGCTGAAGTTGCAGGTGGTTGGTTGTGGACTGTCTGATGTGGGCAGGGAACCAAACGTGGGTCCTCTGGAAGAGCAGCAAGGGCTCTTACAGAGCCATCTCTCCAGACCCATCTTTAAGAATTGTTGAGTTTGGAAAACAGTCTGATATGATTTACATTAGGTATGTCTGGTACAAGAGGACAAGTTTTGAAAGGCAAATTGTATAAACATGAAGTCTGAAGCATTTTATTTGGTATAAAAATTTTTAAGTAGATTTATGGTCAAGGTTTTTTTTTCTTCCTGATGTAAAATGATATGAGAAGACTTGAAAAAAATTATTACATCTTATAAATATAAACAAAATTTTCTGTGTGTTCAAAATTTCAACTTAAAAAGAAAAACGTAAGTTAAAATTAAATATCACACTTTTGTAGGGAGGCAGAAAATGCCATGTGGCTCATTGGTGCCTGCTCTCAGAAGGAAGCTGAGGACTAGAGAAACAGGGCAGGAGCCAAGCTCTGCAGCGCCACGCACAGAGCCCTGGGTTCTATCCTCAGCAGGAGGCAGTGTGTCTTAATTTTAGGCCCACTGGTTCATTATTTCATGAAACTGGGTTTGTCATAGTCGTCTCAGATGTCTTAGCCTGTATCTTCTGTTCCGCCTCCCCACTCTCATCCCGGCTTATCTCCATGCCTCTCAAACCCTGGTTTGTTTTTTTTTTTCTGGAGTCAGGATCAACAGAATCTCAAGATCAACTGTCTCCTCCCCACATTTATTTAGCTGTGCTAAAGAGAACCTTTCTCTCTTCGTAGTAACCTAGGGCCAGGAGGTAAAGACCTAGACCCCAGTCCTGCTTGTGACCTGACCCCTATTCCTTCCTCCACATCATGGGATTTGGATGCTTGATTCACCCTCTTCCTTCCCAACCAGTCAGTTTATTTATATGATTCCCACCTTCTCATTATTTGACCTCAGCTCTGGGAGCATTTATCTTTTTAGGCACTTACCACCCATGGAAAAGAAATGCATTGAACTTTGTCCATCAGAACTGGTCCTCATCAGAGTTTGGTGTCTCCAGCTGTTAATCTCACCTGACATTCACAGCTCATTCCCTTTTCACAGTTCCCTGTCTTTAGCCCTCTTCTCTCTGCTGGCCTGTGGAACCTTTCCTACCTTTTCTCAGCTCCTGCCAGTCTTTAGATTTCATGTAGATGGTGATAGGTTACACACAGTTGCCCTGTCACTGGGTAAAGTCCAAAATCAGCGAGACTGTCTTTGTTCCTCACCATTGCCCTGTGCACTCCTGCTGCAGAGCCCTCCATAACTTGACAGATGGCTTTTCACCGTAATGAAATCCTGTTACAGATAATGTCCTAAATGAAGAATCCATTACTATGTTCCCCAATATAGAACTTTATTAAAACTGAAAATAGCCAGGTGGTGGTGGTGGTGGTACATGCCTTTAAGCCCAGCACTCCAGAGACAGAGGCAGGCAGATCTCTGTAAGTTCAAGGCCATTCCTGGTTTAGAGCATGACTTCCAGAACAGCCTCATCAAAACTGTCTCATCAAAAAAAGAAAAAAAAAAATCTGAAACCCCTCCTAGGAATGATATCCACAAGTGGAGTCAATATCGATAGGCTGTGCGGATAAATCTGAAGTGGCAGCATAGCCTGTTTTCTCCTCTTTGGAAAGGAGGTCATTCTTAAGTCTGAGAAGAAGTTTGGTTTGGTAAACCAAAGAGTCACATTGTTACTGTGTGCTTATAAAATGAGCTGCCTGCTTTGTAAATTGCTGTTTTAATTATATGTTTTACCAACTACTTGTTATTGATGTTTATACTTTAGAATGGCTGTCCTCAGTGTACAAACAGCAGTGGCTGGCTATGCTCCGGGCTGAACAAGACAGTGAAGTGGGGTAAGCATACATCATGTTACTGGTTTTGCAGTGTGGGAGACGGAACCTAGGTCCTGGCACATGCAAGGCTGAGTGCTCTTACTACAGAGCCCCAATCCAAAATAAATAGTAAACCTTGCTATGAATTTTCACTATATTTTTAGTAGAGCTACTTAGGAACAAAACAGGTAGAAAAAGTACTGGACGATTTGAGAAAGCCTGTAAGCATGAACCATGGTACTCAAGAGACTTGTTCCAGGCAGAGCCCCTACAAACAAAGCTACAGCTGCTTGCTTCCCTCAGATTTCTGTCTGACAGTATCAGCCTGGAGCTGCAGCCAATGCTGTCCAGCTACTGCTGCTGTCCAGCCGCCACAGGTGTGATTTCACAAGAGCATAGACTGTTTAAATGCACCCATTCATGTACTGTGATGCTATGTAGACTGACCCTTTCGGAAGGCATGCTTTTGATAATTACATGCAGATGAAGCTCGTTCTCATTTGTGGTATGATGTCAAATTGTGATTAGTAAATAGGTTTTGAAGGTATTTGCATTGAGTAATGTAGATGGAACAGCGAGCTGCATTCCTGCTGCCTGGCTCCCAGCCACCTGGCTAGTTTATGCCCCGAAATAACACACAAATTGTATTCATTTAAACACTGCCTGGCCCATTAGTTTCAGCCTGTTATTGGCTAATTCTCACATCTTGATTAACCCATTTCTAATAATCTGTGTAGCACTACGAGGTGGTGGCTTACCAGGAAAGATTCAGCATGTCTGACCTGGTAGCTGGCTCCATGGCATTCTGCCTTACTGCCTTCTTCCCAGCATTCTGTTCTGTCTACTCCACCCACCTATGTTCTGATCTATCAGGCCAAGCAGTTTCTTTATTAATTAACCAATAAATAGCAACAGATAGACAGATGACCCTCCTCCATCAGAGTGAAGTAAAGCCATCAGGTCATAGCTGTACAAGGAAGGCCTAAGAAAACATTTTATTTTGGTGAGTTTTTTTTCTCTCTCTTTTAACCCTTTTTTTATGCACCAAAGAATTTGGCCTAATTGTAAGTTTCTGACCAAACAGTGAATACATGAAAATATTCTATGAATTCATAAGATTTTGGGTGTTGTTGTTGTTACTGTTGTTGTTTGAGACAGGGACTCTCAGCTAGGTGGCAGTGGTGGCACATACCTTTTATCCTAGCACTCAGGGGGGCAGAGACAGGTGGATCTCTGAATTTGAGGCCAGCTTGGTCTACACAGTGAGTTCCAGGACAGCCAGAGCTACATAGAGAAACTCTGCCTCAAACTCCCACCACCCCAAAAAGAGAGGCAGTCAGACAGATAGACAGGGTCTTTTTATGTAGCCCTGGCTGTCCTGGAACTGGACCAGATTGGCTTTGAATTCACAGAGTTTCATCTGCGTCTGCCTCTCGAGCGCTGGCATTAAAGGCATGTACCTCCATGCCTAGGCTACAGGATTCTTATTATCTGGGTTTTTTAATTTTCTATTTTATTAATAGTCTCATCTTTTCCCAAGCTCATCTGTAGCATACTTATCAGCACAAAGAGAATAAAATTGCTGACGCAGAAGAAATTAAGAAGTAGAAAATGAGTCAGTTATTTAGTGGAAATCGGCTCTGATGTGTTGGCATAGTGCAGTTGAGTCACACTGTAGCACTGTGCATTTGACTTAAGTTTCGGTGTTCTTGGTTGAGTCTTTTTCTACTTTGTCCTTTCTCTCTTAGCTAAGGCACAACTTGTGTAAGTGTCTCCTTTGCTTGACCCTGAGAATATGTGTGCCACCTGGGGCATAGGTTGGGGCAAATGCCGACATCACTGTAGGACGTCCTAGGCCCTAGCACTATAGTAAAAGGGGAGGGCATACAACTCTACTGCCTGTTCCTGCTGCTGAGTGCCTGGTCCAGCTTCAGGGCTCCCAAAATGTGAGGACTTTGTCTTAGGACCTAGTAAAGCCTCATTCCAGGATCTTCTCCCAGACTGAAGAGGATTATCGTTCTAAAACGGAAATTCAGTGTGCAACTTGTGCCTGAAGGCAAACACAGACATCCGATGATGTTGAGCTGTTCCTCTGGTTGTTGAGGCTTGACAATGAAAACATCTGACTCACCATGCTGGGCTTGAATAATCACAGAACACATGTCTGAGAACTCGGGCAGGAGAAACTCATAAGCACAGCCTGTGGGAGCCTTCAGCAGCCCGTCCCAGAAGCCTCTGTCATCTCACACTTACCTTACACCAGCTGGCCAATTCCTGTGTCTGTTTGACACTGTAAATAAAGAAGGAGTGATCGACTGTTCTGTTGGAATCCTCCCCTGCAGCACATTCTACCAAACTCCAACAGGTCCTGTCATGACCCACCCTTCCCTCGAGTTTTATGTAGCCTTGGCGGTCCTAGAACTCTCTCTGTAGACCAGGCTGGCCTCAAACTCACGGAGATCTGCCTGCCTCTGCCTCCTGAGTACTGGAATTAAAAGCGTGCACCACCATGACCCAACAATTTCGTTCTTTTTAAACTCACGTTGTTTTTTTTAATTACTAGTTGCCTGTTTCCCACTAAAGTTCTTTGCTCTTGTATCATTTCAGACCTCAGGAAATCAATAAAGAAGAGCTTGAGGGGAATAGCATGAGGTGTGGCAGGAAGCTTGCCAAAGATGGTGAAGTAAGTGTGGCTGTGGTCTGTATGATCTCAGCTTGCTGAGATTCTCTTACGCGCTTTGCTTTACTTTCAGGTGTTTGCAGTTTTTCCTAATATGATATTTAAAAGGGGGCTTGCTGTGGCAAGCCTCAAAAGTAAATAAATACATGTTCTTTTAAAGTAGTTTCAACATAAGGAAGCAGATGTCTGAGGCTCCTGCTTACTAGTATGTCATATCTTGAGAAGACCGTATTTGATCTTGTCTGTACTTTGGTGTCCTGAACAAGGGTTCTAACCACCGTGCTCAGCAGTTACTCAGTCTTGTTTGAAACCATCGAACTTGAATTTAGAGTCCAGAAGAGAAGGTTGAGAAGGTTCCTCTGCAGTACAGAAGTTGAGATTGATTGGTGGGAGGTGTTGCATTGTCTTAGAGGTCTGATTGACAGTTACCCCAACTCAGAGTTGCCTGTCCCCTCAGAGTGCTCTCCACACCGAGAACCGCCTTTGCTCCTTACATGGGAGTGAAAGAAGGAATGTTTACCCGCTGTCTCTGGAGAGCCTGCCTCTGTTGTTCTAAAACCTGCCTGTGCTCCAGTCAATTGATTATGCAGCCTAGCTGTCCCCACTTCTACCCTCAGATTCCAGTCTAGTTTTCCCTGGTCCTTTTCCCCCAAATTTATCTGCACTTTCATCTTTCAGAGGTTATTTCATGCTTGCCTGCAGGGCTGCAGCATGGCACAGCAGGGGTTCTTTATCCCTCATGAACTGCCGCTCCTTCAAAGGAGACGCATCGGGTGCATGGTCATCTGCTCGTTGTCCTGTCACTGTCACTCTGTGTCCCCAGTGATCCTGTGTTCTATGTTACCAAGGCACTCCCCCCCCACTGATGACATCACCTTCAGACTCCATTTCAAGTGTCCCCCACAACTCCTGCTTCTCCTTTCTCTTCCTAGCTCTGTTTTGGACTTGAACATTGTTTACCCCTTGAGATGTACAACTTGTCCTCTCCTTCCTACCCCTCCCTTCCCTTCTTTACTGACTTGTGTTTTGTCTCACCTTAAGCCCTCCCCTTGTTTCTATCCATCCTCTTCTCCTTTTCCCCATTTGATGCTGGGAGACTCATCTCAGCAAGTCCCAGTTCCCAGACTCTGAATGAGTACCATGTTAGGCTGAAATTCTCTTAGAGATCTGTCTTAGTTAGGGTTTCTATTGCTGGATAAACACTGTGACTAAAAGCAACTTGGGGAGGAAAGGATTTATTGTTATTGTTGTAGATGATAGTCCCATCACTGGAAGACGTTGGATAGAAACCCGGAGACAGGAACTGATGCAGAAGCTGTCGAGGAGTGCTGTTTACTGGCTTGTTCATCATGGCCTGCTCAACATACTGTCTTATATCATCCAAGATCACCAGCCCGGGGGTGGCACTACCCACATCAATTGTTAATCAAGAAAATGCCCTACAGGCCACTTTGGTGTGGACGTTTTCTCAATTGAGGTTCCTTCTCAAGTGACTCTGGCTTGTGTCAAGTTGATGTAAAACTAACCAGAACAAGGCCAGAGACAAGCACCCTTCCCAGGGGGGTTTCCTTGGTAATAACCATGGGCTTCACCCAGGTCTGTGGTGCTGCATGGTAGGCCACCTGCCTTTCTCCTGTGACTATTTCCTCCCTGTCTGAAGTGACTCTGCCTTCTCACCTCATCTGATGCTTCCACGGTGCCTTGCCTTTCGCTGTGGCAGGGTCTGTGTACCTTCCTTCCAGCAGTCTGCCAACCTTGATCTGCTGCTGTCTTGAGCTGTCTGTCCTGTCCTTGTCTACCCTCTGATTCCATCTTTTTCTTTTTCTTTTTGTTTTTCAACACCGGGTTTCTCTGTGTAGTACTGGCTGTCCTGGAACTCACTCTGTAGTGTAGAGTGTGAACTCAGATCAGAGGCCTGCCTCTGCCTCCCAAGTGCTGGGATTAAAGGTGTGCACCATGCCCATTGATTACATCTGTTTTAACACTGAGAAACCTGCAGTTCTTACCTCCCTCTGCTGCACCATCCACACTACTCTTTCGGTTTGTAACTGGTCGCTTCAGACTGCTCCTTGGCTGCACAGTATTTCTTCTGACTCCCCTCCAGCCATTCTCACTACAGCGGTGTTGGTATTGATTCATGTTCAAGTGGAGTTCTATTCCTGTTGCTCTTGGCAACAGTAACCTTTTTCACTTATTCCCTATCTCTTTCCACTTGACTCCCAGGACAAATGTTTAGACAGTTGTCTTCCTACATCACTGACTGATCCTCCTAAAGTCTACTAGACTCTCCTCTTCCTTAGCAATATCACTGGAACTGAGGTTCGGTTCTTGGTCCCATATGCTCTTATTTATTCCCTTGATATTACAGCCTGACTGCAGAAGTGGCCCTTGACTCCCACTGGGCATCTTTCTCAGATATCTAGAGCATCTCAGATGGAGGGAGCATCCCTCAATTTTCCCCAGGATTCCTTACCTGGAGATAGTGCCTCTCTCTGTTCATCTGTCATATATGCTCCAAACTGCATGTATATGGATGCCTAATTCTTTCCTTCCACTTGTGGTGTCCGGGAGAAATCCCTCAAGGGTAAATCCTTCAAATGCATTTCATCCCCTCTCCATTAACACTCAGCTCAGGTCACGATCTCTCCTGCCTGGGCTACTGGAGGATCTTCCCACTACATCATACGAATACAATATTCCAGTTTACAGATTCCTCCCAATTTCACTCTTATTTTTTTGTATCCTATCTCCCATGCAACAGCCAAAGTAGTCTGCAAATGTAAGGTAGATCATACTGCTTTCTTTCCTAGAATATTCTCTTAGCCTCCTACACTCACTCTCCCTTATCAGAGACTAGACTGCCCCTTTGGGCGTCTGACTGCCCCTAAACCCATCTCCATCCAGTTCCTGTCGCTGCCTGCCCTGGCCTAGCCATGCAGCCCTTCTCACTGTCTCACTGAGAGACCCAGCATGTTTTCACCAGCAGAGCTTCCCTCCCCAACCAGATCCCCAGTCTGCTCCTTGGCCCAGCCTCTTCCCCAAAGCTCCTTGGACTCCTCCTCACATTGTTCCCCAGGCTCCCTAGTTGTGAATCCCTTCTCTCTGTCACTCTCCCGACCTCTTCTTTCATCCCACATATCCCATCCTCTGTCTACCATAGTAACTTACTGACTGCGGTGCCTCCACTCCCTGGAGTTGAGCCTGGTGTATAACACATGCTCAGTACATATCAGTGAATACTGAGTTACTGTGTAATCCAGGGTGTGCCTGCCTTACTTCCCTCTCTGATTAACTGGTAGCTGTGGAGGTGGTATCTGGAGTGGTTTTCATGTGTCTGGTGGTTGGCTGGAGCATTTTAGAGAGCTTCTAAGTCTAGTATCTTCCACTACAGATGCCAGGCACCCAAGCTGTTCTTACTCAGAACTGCAATGGGAGGCCTGGTTCCCTGGGATGGGACTGCAGTGTGAAGGGAAGTATAGGATAACACTTGGGGAATCTGGCCACAGAGGGTGTCACGTCCAGGGCTGATGTTTTGACAGATCCATATGGGAGAGGCACTGCCAGAAAGTGCTTCCCCTTGCATGTACTTGAAATGAAAGAAACACAAAACAAGAAAAAAAAAACTTGAACTTTTAATTTGTGACTTGCTCATGTGATGATCTGAAATGAATACTTTGTATCTCTTAGTACTGCTGGCGGTGGACAGGTTTTAATTTCGGCTTTGACCTCCTTGTGACTTACACCAATCGGTACATCATTTTCAAACGGAATACACTGAATCAGCCATGCAGTGGATCTGTCAGCTTACAGCCTCGAAGGAGCATAGCATTTAGGTAGGATGACACCCCCACTTCCTACGCCAGCAGAAGGGTAAGAAATGAAATGAAACCTTGATCACCAATTTTGGACTTGGTAAGACACAGTATATGGGAAGCACCAGGAGCTGAGAAAACTCCCATTTCTTTGAATGTTTCTCAGTAAACAAGAATAGAATGTCTTGATTGCCAGGATTAGCAGCTAGAGCAGGAATGATAGACAACTTGATTCTGATCTTGGAACTGTCAGCATGTTATATTCCTATCAAATAAAATGTGCAAACTAGCATGAAACAGGTGTTCGTAGTACCTGCCAAGCATGCTGTGTCCAACGCTGCCTGAAAGCTAAGTAACAATCACTTCCTGGAGGTGGTACTATGGACTGCCAGGAGCAAGTAGCTGACTGATGCTGTTTGCAAAAATCAACTCAAAGGGGCCAAACATAATGGTATGATGTCGTTAAATCTGACACTTGGGAGACAGGGGCAGGCAGATGTTTGTGAGTCTGAGACCAGACTTGTTTACATATGTGAATATATGTAATGAGACCCTGTCTCTAAAACTTCAAAGAGATTATATAAGATCTAAAGTTGTTGACATAATTGGGAGATGATACAGGGCAAAGGCTTGATGACATTTGATTTGGTCTAGACTTCTTTTGTTGGGGGCATTTCTCTGTAGCTTTAGAGCCTGTCCTAGAACTCATTCTGTAGACCAGGCTGGCCTGGAACTCACAGAGATTCACCTGCCTCAGCCTCCCAAGTGCTGGGATTAAAGGTGTGCACCATCACTGCCTGGCCTGGTATAGTCTTCTTTGATGTGATGCCAAAAGCACAGGCTCAAGAAGCATATGTGTCAGTGAGTACCAGTTAGCAGGCCGCTGCAGAAGGGGAGAGGACGTCTGCAAGCAGACCGATCCCTGATGGGATTAGCATTCAGTACACAGCAGACCAAAAACTATGACTGAAAACTGCTAGGTGTGGGAGAGGTTTGTAGTCCTAGCTAAGTATGAGACTGATTACACAGTCCCAGTTCCATGGGTAGTTCTCTTACCGATGACCCAAATCTAGTTCACAACCATCTGTAACTCCAGTTCCAGGGGGACCAGCACCCTCTGTTGGCATCAGTCATGTACTCAGTGCACATATATACAAGCAGGCACCAAAAACCCATACACAAAAAATATATTTTTATGATTAAAAACATACGGATTGAAAGTGGCCAAGGCAGTCATGGAGCTCGCACAAGTCTCTGGATTTAGTCCTGCAGATCCAGCAAAACAAAGCACCAAAGAACTTGCCTAAAATTTCTCCAAAAGGCTGGAAAGATGGCTCATCCAGTACGGTGCTTGCCAGGCAAGCATGGAGGCCTCCTGTCCAGCCTACTTGGCCAAATAGGTAAGCCAAAGGTCTAGAGGAAGGCACCCCATATTGGTATCAAGCCTCTATAATACACATATACATACATATATCCCCACAAACACACACACACAAATTCTCCAAAGAATATATATAAATGTCAGGTGAACAAAAAGATGCTTAATATCGCTAGTCATTTGGAAAATGAAATAAAAAACACAATAAAATGCTGTTTCACATCTTTTATCCAAAACATTAACAAACATGGACAAGGTTGTAGAAGAACCAGATTCTTGTCCTCTGCTGATAACCTTGTACAAAATGCACAATAAGACCCTTTGCAAAAAATAAACACGTTCTTTATGGTCCACCATATCCCCTTAGGGACATTCCAAAAGAGTCGGAAGCAAGGGCTTAGATATTTACACTGTGAGGCTTGCAGCAGCATTGCTCATGGAGGCTAGAGGGTAGAAGCAGCCTGTGTGAGGCTTGACAGATAACTGGGTAAACATGGGTGATAATGTACACACAGCAGAACATGAGTCATCCTTCAAAAGGAGAGTCCCGCAAAGACCCTGTGAAGTGAGTTAAGTGTGTCACAAAAGGACAGCCATCCTGATTCCACTCATGCCTAGAATAGAAGTGTTGATAGGGACAGAAAGTAGGCTGGTGAGCGCCAGTTCTGGGAGAAGAGATTTGAAGATTTGAAGAGTTACTGTTGAATGGGATGGTGTCAGCTGGGAAGGCGGAGATGCTCTGAAGGTGGAGGTGGGATGCCTTTGTAAAGAAATCAAATAGCTTCATGTGCTATGTCTCACCACAGTGACGAAAGGGCACTTCAGATTCGAGACAGGGTTTCTCTGTAGCTTTTTTTGGTTCCTGTCCTGAAACTAGCTCTTCTAGACCAGGCTGGCCTCGAACTCAGAGATCTACCTGCCTCTGCCTCCCGAGTGCTGGGATTAAAGGCGTGCGCCACCACCGCCCGACTTTTCAGAGTTATTTTTATATAATAATTAGAACAACACAGGTTAGAAATCTGACTGGAGCTAATGTAACATTTTGAAAAGACTTTAAAATTCTTTATAAAGGACTCATCTTGTGTTGAGCACACTCCTGTAATCCCATCACTCAGGAGGTGGAAGCAGAAAGATCATGGTTGAAGGCCAGCCTGAGCTACATAATGAGACCTGTTCCTAAAAACCAAAGGTTGGAGCTGTAGCTGTAGCATGTTTGCCTAGGCCTGGACTCAGTCTGCAGCCTTACCAAAAATAAGACTTCCTGGAAATATAGAAGGAGAAAAAAATAGAGTGAGGAAGGATTTGTTTATATTTGTCTTCACTTAAACATTGATTTTTTTTTTAAATTCTAGATTGCGATTGGCTTCTTTTGACAGTAGTGGAAAACTCATATGCAGTCGAGCAACTGGCTACCAAATACTGACACTTGAAAAAGACCAGGTATGTGTGCTTGTGTGCTTGCCACTTTACTACATCATATGTGTGCTTGGATTCTTTGAAGCTCTTAAAACTGACATTAAATGACAATATTTTGATGTGAAAATTTGTTAATTTTTTTTTCAAAGTAAAGGTGAAAATATCCTGGTCACCTCTGCAGAGCTCGGTCGACTCCAGCTCTGTAGATCTGGGGTCCTCTGCAGAGTTCGGTTGACTCCAGCACTCTAGATAAACCCAAAATGCTGTACTAAAATCTAAAGTGTTTTGAACACCACAGGGAGCATTCCATCATGAAACAATATTTTCAATAAATGATGCATAAAATTATATTGAGTCCGTATATATGCATATATGTATGAAATACAAATGAATCTGTGTAGACTTAAGATGTTCTAAAATCTGCTTCTCTGGACTCTATCTACCCTTTGAAACTGGATGAGACCACAGAAACAAAAAGATCACCTGGCCAGTTGATGGTAGCACATGCCTTTAATCCCAGCACGTGGGTGGCAGAGGCAGATAGATCTTTGTGTGTTCGAGGCCAGCCTTAGAAGTCTATAAATCAAATTTTGGGAACAGCCAGAGCTGTTATACAGAGAAACCCTGTCTCAAAAAACAAAACAAACAAACAAAAAGTCATCTGAGGGGAAAGAGTGGGCAGTAAGGAAATGATGACTTTGGTATCCTCTTCACAAAGCCCTGCACCTGGATGTTTATTCCCACTCTCACATCCTGAGGATGCCTGACCACCCTCTAGTGCTCCTGGGTAGGAAGAGGATAGACATCCATAATATTCTCCATATTCTCTGCAGTCATCTTTCATGTCATATATCCAAATGCTTGTATAAGTTTTGAAATGTTAGGATGAGAAAGTAAATTGTTTTCAGAAACAAAAATGAAAGTGCTAAATGGTGAGGAAGTTTGTTTCCTTTAGAAGCCTACCACACTAAAAATGGGGTCCTGTTTCAGAAAGGACTTAGAGCCCTTGTTTCCTCAGCTGGAGGGGCCAGCCTGAGGGACCATGGAGAATCAATACTGAGCCTTCACGTGCCTTAGGAACCTCTCACACAGTCCCACTGTGCACTTCTGCTGCTGCCTCAGCTCATGGCAGAGGGCGTGGCTTATGTGAGAGAGGCCCTGAGCGCTACTACTACTGCGGACGCAGGCATGGCAAATAGGATGTGGGAATGTCCTTTTCAACAGCTATGGAACGAGGGCCCTCAAATCCCTGTCTTCCTACACTAAAGTTCCCTGTTGGCCCTGGGACTAAATGAGCATTGTCTGTCTTTACTGTCTATCTAGAACTTCATAACAAACAGCCACAGCTCAAAGCAGCCAGAAAGCTAAAAGGCTCCAGGCCAAGTTAATCATACCTACCCATTTTATTTGCCCAGTGCTTTTGCTCCTACTGCATGCGGAGTCCTATTCCTGTGGTGGAGGAAATCCACATGAGCGTGTGTTAGTGTAGTCTAGTAGAAGAAGCATTCTGGCATGATCCCAGAGCACTGTGTGATGTTGAGGGTTGAGATAGATGTGATAGCTGACAATTCAGAAGGAGAAGCCCTAACCCATGCTTCAGGGTTGGAGGTGTCGTGACTGACAGCTCAGGGAAAAGTTGTGCTGAAAACGTGAGCAGAAGATGCCTCAGTGAGTGAGGCAGGAGAGCTGCTGGTCGCTTTAGGACTGAAAGGAAGTGAAGAGAGTTCAGTACAGGTAGATAGAGCTGGCGTGATGGACTGCAGGCGAAGGCTTTTAGTTGGTTACTTGTGTGCTTTCCCTGTGTTACAGGTGTTAGCACTAGAAAAAATAGAAAATAGAATAATTTAGATCACTCATCTTAACTGTGTAAAAGTTGTCTTAACGTTTTTACTACAAGAAAAACATACACATCCACATACATTTTTCTATTATTTATTTGTGTGTTTCTTTGTTTTAGTCCAGACTGGCTCTAATTGGTCATTCTCCTGCCTCAGTCTTCTGACTACCTGTATTACAAGTGTGTGCCACTACTCCTAGCAGCACATGCGTATCCTAGTGGCCAGGTTGCAACCCTCTGAGCAGCAGAGGAGCATGCATCCGGTGGAGTAATGCATTCATTCTGCTCTCTTACTTGATGTGGAAAGTGAATTTGGGGCTGGAGAGGTGACTTGGTGGTTCAGAGTTCCTGCTGCTCTTGCGGAGGACATGAGTCCAGTTCCCAGCACCTATGTTTGACACCTCACACCTGTCTGTAACTCTAGGTCCAGGGATCAAGTGTTCTATTCTGACTCCTTAGGGCACAGTCAGGCACACACAAACATAGGAAATAGATAAGTCAGGGAGGGAGGGAGGGGGGGGGGGGGGGGGGGGGGGGGGGGGGGGGGGGGGGGGGGGGGGGGAGGGGGGGGGGGGGGGGGGGGGGGGGGGGGGGGGGGGGGGGGGGGGGGGGGGGGGGGGGGGGGGGGAGGGGGGGGGGGAGGGAGAGAAGGAAGGAAGGAAGGAAGGAAGGAAGGAAGGAAGGAAGGATTGAATTGTGTTGGCCTCAATTTTCATTTGTTTGATTACCAGTATCATTGGATTTTTGTTTGCTCCTTGACTTCCTGTGTAAACCGATGAATCAGAGGACATGTACTTGGTTTCATTATAAAACTATTTGTGTCACTGTCCCACTAAGCCCCGGCCTGAGTATGTGTTATAATCAAAGACTGCTGTGTCAGATAGGCGCTAAATAAAAGAATAAATAACCTGGGAGACATCAGGAACAGGGTGGGAGATGAAGGCCGTGAGCGGAAGCATAGGACGGGTGCCTTGGAAAGAAAGAGTTGCTGCTGCTGCTCTCCTGAAGGCTCCAGTGGAGGTTAGAGGGGCATGGGTTTAAACACGGGGTGAGGTAGCTCCCTGCACATACAGCAGACTGTGGGCTCCTTTGTCTGGAAGAAGGCCCCGCTGTAGAAAGGACCTGTTGTGTGTGCTGCTGCCATGCAAGGCCAGAGTGGACCAGCGGGACCCTCACCATGCAACTGTTTCAGTGGAGTCTACAGGGCGGAGTTAAAAAGGTTGAGGATGCTGGAAGCCATCTTGTGCGGTAGGAATTGGAGACCAGGGATTAATGTATCTTACCCAAAGATTGATGTGTACTTTTGGCTTCAATCAATGTCCACATCGGCTTCCTCTTTTCCATGGAGTTAGCCCTTTGACCTACCTGAGGCCAGTTTTAACTGCACTCAGACCCCTGACATCATGTTTTTATCAGGGCTTTTATTTTTTTATGTTTGTTTTTTGTCAGTGCACAACTGTGATTTTTTTCTTAATCATCAATGTGTGTGGCTTCAAGATTATTAAGTTAGGAAAGTGATGTAAAAGTTTAGTAAACCTATATTCAAATTGAAGGGACAAGTTTTGCCCAGGGCAAATGTCAGATGTGTGCTGACATTCTTTTGGCAAAAGTTTTCCCATCTGCCAGTATGACAGTGTCCTGATTTTACTCCCTGAGATTTTCCTGAATACTGCCTTCCCTTTTGGGGTGAGTACAGAGAGATTGTGGCCTATATTTGAATAAAATTTCTATACATTTACCTAAATTTATGTTCTTAAACACACACCCCCAATACAAAGTTGTATTTTTCTTAGCAGTAGTAACACACCTTTAACCCCAGGACTTGGGAGGCAGATCTTGGCAGATCTCTGTGTGTTCGAGACATACCTGGTCTACAGAAGGAGTTCCAGGACAGCCAGAGCTACATAGTGAAACCCCCAACAAAGTTCTACTCTTTAAGCCTACTTTGGTCAGTCGGTTGCATAAGTTGATCTTCATAGAAACTGGTATTTCATACTCCCTTTAAACAGTGCTTACAGCATCTCCAAAATATATAGAACAACATGACAAAGGCCTGAAGCACATGGACTGTCCCTCAGGGCTAGGTATAGAAATGTCATTTCAGTGTTGCTTCTTTAAGGACTTACTCTGCTCTCTGGTCATGGGACAGATCTGTGAGGTCCAGAGAGATCCAAAGCATCAGAGGTCCCCTTGTGGCTCTCATCACCTTTGTTTCATGTGCATAGATGTAGATGAACCCAAAATGCTTGTACATGATATACTTTGTATGTGATGTGTTCTAGGCACGGTGGGGGATTTAGATGAGGGCGGGAACTGCTTGGTGATGACAGCAGTGACTCTGCCTTAGTCCCGTGATTGGTACCAGTGTATTAAAAACTGAAGCCAAGTGAGCAGTTCACTGTGCACAGGGGACTTGTATGTTGGTTGTTTCAGGTGTTGGAGGTTGAAACTAGAGCCCTGTGCATGCTAGACTAAAGTAGTGATGAGCTCAGAATGTGCTGAGTGTGAGTGTGCTCTGCCTTTGAGCTGTGTGCCCTGCTTGATAGAGAATAGCTGCCCTGTTGAGTAGCTTGCTCTGTCTGTCAGCCTTAGTTCTCAGTGTGGGGTTAAACAGTGAGGAAACTGCAGGTAACAAGCTCATAAATGTGTCTACGATTAGAGCTGTGGTGAGTGCCTCACCCCGCGCTGCCTTCTTACTCCGCAGCTGGACTTACAGATGTTGTGAAATGTTGCTGTCTAGCTGTCTTAACCCACACGTCTGTCTTATAGGAGCAAGTGGTGATGAACTTGGACAGCAGGCTTCTCGTCTTCCCTTTGTATATCTGCTGTAACTTCCTGTACATATCACCAGAAAAAAGAACTGAAAGTCACCGTCACCCAGAAAACCCAGGAAACTGAAGGAAGCACTCCGTGGGAAGAGGAGCACTCTGAAAACTGTCGAGGGCAGCTTTAACGTCACAGCCTCCTGCGTTCATGTCCAAGGTGGCTAACAGTGCTGGGCCCTTATGGACTTCATGGACGCTGCAGGGGATGTCCTCACCCGCACACATCTCTATGCACATGTGCAAACGTATTGTAAACTAAGGCAGTACCTGTCAAACCATGTGTGTTAAAAGGACATCAACTCTCGCTTTAATTTAGTAGCAGTAGAAAATTGCTTTAGGTAAATTTCTCATTTCTTTGCAACAAAATATAGATTGAATTTTGAGCTTGAATTACCTGCCCGATGTAAGTGAGCTTCGCCTTTTCATCTGTAAATCTGTTCTGTTTTGTTAAAGAGACTGCTAGGGGCATAGCTTGAATGGCCAGGTATAAATGCTCTTTCAGCTGGTGCCCTTAACGCCATCTTTTAGGTTTTCAGTAGCTTGTTGAGACTTCTGCTGAGTCTGAGACCTTCCAGTCTCGCCGCTTTCCCATCAGATTCTTCTCGTGGTTTGGGAGACTAGGCTTAGGAACTGTTTCTATTTCATTTTGGTTTGTTTTTGTTTTTAATCTAAATTCGGGCATTTTTCATATTTTTTAAACTTTAACTTTCCTACAATTTTAAATGACAAAACAACAATCAGCTTTAGGACTTGAAATAAACTTGAATAAGGGAAATCTGTTTGATTCTGAGGATATTCCTTCGCCTTATGTGCGCAGTCTTGTCTGACTTTCTGTGTTCTCTGTTATGAGTTATTTATGTAGAATACTGCATTTTCAAATATTTCGTGTTCTCTGGTCGTTGGAATTTATGTTCAAATTTTAGTTGGGAATCTTGTTTCCTACTTAAGCTCAGGACTTTCTAACCTCTGAACTGAGTGCCTTTGAGTCACACATGCAAACGGATTCATGGTGAATGTACGGGAGGAGCTGGAGCAAAGCCTTCGTGCTAGAACAACCTATTTTTGTCAAGAATGAGATGTATGCTGTCATGATTTGTATACGTTGGTTCTTTGTGTTTATTGCTATTTTGAAAATAGCCACTCTCATTTTCCTCCAGTCAGAGTAAGTGCTTTTGTGGTTGATGTATGTTTTTAGTATTTTTTTTTAAATTGGAATCATTTTTATGTATCTGTTCAAATAAAATGATCATTTGGAAAAGGAATACGCTCCTGTTTGAAGATGGACTCGAAAACCTCACCTGAAACAAGGATTCTCTTTTCCTCTAAAAGTTCAGTTTTTTCCCAAGTATTTGGTTCTTTGTGTTTATTTTGTTTTAAAGCAGAATTCTGTTAGAGATCAAGAAAAAACAACTGAACTGGAAGACTGAATCACAGTGGCTTCTGGGAAAAGGAGCTAGAGAAGCCTTGCTCTGAGGCAGAGGGCGCCAGGCATGCTCTCTGTGGGGTCTGCGGGAAGGTCACCTGGGTCAGTGGAACTAGCAACTTCAGATTTGGTCGCTTCGTTTTTATTTGTTTGTTTTTGTTTTGTTTTTCAAGACGGGGTTTCTCTGTGTAGCAATCCCAGCTGACCTGGAACTTTGTAGACCAGGCTGACCTTGAACTCAAAGAGATCTGCCTCTGCCTCCAAGCTGTGTTTGAAGGTGTGTTCCACCACCTCCCAGCTTGACTGTTTCTAAAAAACAAGTGAACTAAAACACAGAAAACAAGAAAGGCCGGGTTCTCCCTCAGGTGGCAGACAGGCTGAGAGCTGAGGATCATAAGTGCCTGCTCCCACCTGCTCCTAGCTTTGGCTTCCTGGCGGTCTTTCTTTCCTAGTAATATGTCATTACGATCACAAATTATCCTTGTTTTGTCAACATTTAACTACTCTGAATGCCTTATCCCCCAGAATTGTGATGTGAAGATTTCTACAGCAGTGGTTGAGTCAGTACAGGCTACACTTGTGTACACCTGGCTGGGATTTCCTCTCCCGCTGCTGTTTTCTTTCTGCAGCATAAGAAATCCTTTATTCTTTATATATTAAGAAAACATCCTGGCAGTGGTGGTGCACGCCTAATCCCAGTGCTCAGGAGACAGAAGCAGACGGATCTCTGTGAGTTCAAGATCAGGCTGGTCTACAGAGCAAGTTCCAGGACAGCCTGGAGTACACAGAGAAACCTGTCTCAAAAACAAAACAAACAGCACACGCCTGTAATCCTAGCACACAAGAGGCTGAGGCAGGAGGATCACAAGATTGTGGACAGCCTGGGCTGCATTGCAAGACCCTTTAAAACAAACAAAAATTATACTCAGATATGTCTTTATAAACCTTGGGAACTAAAGTGTGAATATATCAACAAGGAAGATGACTTCCTTTTGCTGGTCAGGTTGTCAGCTTATAAAGTGTAAGCGGTTTCAGGTGAGGACGGGAGGCCACCATGTGTGGGGCTTTGCCCTGCCAGCTCTTGCTGTGTATATATAGCCTCTGCCAAGTTTTGTTATGATTTTGTTTTCTATTAACTGTTAAATAACTGGTTATTTATTCAGCAAAGAAGAAAATATAGTTTAATACTGAATTATTATTATTAATTTTTGTTCGTTTGTTTTTCAAGACAGGGTTTCTCTGTGTAACAGCCCTGGCTGCCCTGGAACTAGCTCTTATAGACCAGGCTGGCCTCGAACTCATAGAGATCTGCCAGCCTCTGCCTCCCAAGTGCGGGGATTAAGAGTGTGCGCCACCACTGCCCAGCGCATTTTTCTTTTTCCAATCAATCCCTGTATTATCCCAAAATGTTCTCTGAAGAAACCCAAGTCTACTTCTCTCTCATCCCTGAAGCTCTGCAGAGGCTCCACGTATGCCCTGAGGTAGCCCGAGGTCCCACCTCTACACATCTTTCTCACCTCCTGCCCTTCCCCTGCAGTGAGCAGAGACCCCTCCCCCAGCACACATTTCCCCTTGTCTTCTGGCTGATTTCCTTCCGGAAGCTCCTCTGCACGACCTTTCCCCTCAGCAGCGGGCAGGTGGTTGCCATTCTGCCTTCCTGCTGTCACGTGGCACGTGACACACTTCCGCAGCACTTCCTTTTCTGTATCCCTCAGACCTACCAGCCGCTCAGACTCGTGCCTTTTTTTACTGTTGAGTCCTCTGATAATTAGGTGTGCAGTCAGGGTGACTAGTATGACTGATCATTGTGACACTTTGTTCTCTGGTGTTGCCGAGGCCACACTCCTTACAGTTGAGCCCTAGAGTGTCAGTGAACTCTATTTCTCATGCACATTCACACACAGACAGTCCCAAACTCACTTCCCCAACCACTTCTTTTCATTTTTTAAAGGTTGATATTTGTGTATGAATGTTTTCCCTGGACTGCACCTTGTGTGTGCTTGATGTTAGGCATCGATCTCCTGGACCTGGAGTCATGGATGTTTGTGAACCACCATATGGCTGAACCAGGACCCCTGGAAGAGCAGTCAGTGCTCTTAACCACTGAGACATCTCTCCAGCCCTTTAGACAGACTGTCAAGATAGGCCAGTGTCCCCTGCTCTAGTCATCTCTGGGCCATGGACCAGATGACGCAGATCACCTTCTGAGATGATTCAAAACTAGCTGTCTGTTGCATGACTTTGGAGAAACAAAATGGTTAGTGTTGCTTGTTACTAATGGTTAGTGTTGATTGCTACCTTGATGGGGTTTAGAATCACCGTGGCGACAAACCAGAGCTTATTTCTTTATGAGGGATTATATCTATATAAGATTGAGGTGTGGAGGATGATATATATATGCGTCAGGGTCTTGAACTGCACAAAAAAAAAAAAGGATAAAGGCTGAACACAAGCATCCATCACTCTCTGCTTCCTGACTACAGATGTGGTGTAACCAGCCACCTCAAGATCCCGCTGCTATTATCTGCCATGATGAGGTCTTCTGTGAGCCAGAACAAACCCTTTCTTCTTTAAGTTGCTTTTGCTAGGATTTTGTCACAGCAGCAGCAACAACAAAAATAACTACTGCAGACATGATCTGAGCAAACATCAGTTCAGCCCAGATGCGGCACTGATAAGAACTAGTTAAGTTATAAGAACTAGTTAGGAATTAGCCTAAGCTACAGAAGTCTCCGTGTCACTATTTGGGAGCTGGCTGATGGAACAGGAAAAGACTCATTGCAAACCCCAGTGGGTTGACCGGGGTTAATTACAGGAACATGACAGCTCATGAAAGGTCTGCATCCCTGGAGTTCCCTGCACAACTCATAGTCAGCGCTCAGGAGACTCAGGAGGATTGTCTCCAGCTCAAAGACAGCCTGAGTGCCAGGCGGTGGTGGCTCATGCCTTTAATCCCAGCACTTAGGAGGCAGAGGCAGGTGGGTTTCTGTGAGTTCAAGGCCAGAAGTGCAGACCCCAATTCAGTGCCTGAGACCAGAGTGTCAGCAGAGCTTTGCTCTCTGCAGCTCTCCATGAAGAACCCACTGCCCGTCCTTGCAGCTTCTGTTGCTGTCGTCCTGGCGTCAGGCCCCTACCTCTGAGGTCTCAGGACCTGCTCCCCATGTCCCCCTTTCTCTGCCTTCCTGTAGATCATCAGGAAGTCCTGGGTCGTTGAGGGCAGCCTCCTCATCTGCTCATCCTTACACATAGGGCAGCATCCACAGGCTTCTTTGCTGGTCTCTTTACGAATAAGCCATTCTCGCTCCTTCTCAGAACTCTGTCCCCGTGGATTCTGATATACTGTGCTACGGTAGTGTTTCCATACTTGACAACTGTGGTTGGCTTCCTTGCAGACCGTTCCTCTTCTGAGTTAAGTCCACTTGCCCCCTGGGGCCACCCTTGGTCTCCCCACTTGGGGCCACCCTTGGTCTCAGGACAATCTCCTGAGCTCCTGTGATTCCTAAATCCTTCGCCTATCTTCTTTGTGACCTCTTCCCCAGGTCTTGGGTTCTGTCTGCATTTAGTCAAATGCCTGCCCCAAATGTCTATTTAGATGTCATACTTTTTCTCTTTTTCTTTTTTATGTGTGTGTGTGAGTATGAGAGAGAGAGAGAGAGAGAGAGAGAGAGAGAGAGAGAGAGAGAGAGAGAGAGAGAACAGAATCTTAACCATGTATCCCATGTATCTTTTGTTGGCCTAGAATTTGGTATGTAGACCAGGCTGGTCTGGAATTCATGAAGATCCACTTGTTTCTGATTCCAGAGTGCTGGGCTGGAAGCATTTGCCACCATGCCTGGCTTGTGTTCAACTAATAAAATAGAATTCAGGTTTTCCCACAAGCTAAAGAATAATCAGGTTTTCAGACTGGAGTAAGCATACACAGAAAGAGCTCCCCTGAAGTGATAGGGAGGCATTTAGGGGCAAGAGTCCTCACACGGTAAAGGCCGCACCCTTTCCTTGCCCTCTGCGTCTTCCATATGGACAGCATCATGTCGTGAGTGTTGCAAACAGACCAACCCTTACTTTCTCAATAAGTGTTGTCAAAAAGTATGTACTCAACTGGTGAGGTGGCTAAGCAGGTAAAGGTATTGGCATGGCACCTGTATGCACATGTGTGTGCATATGTGTGAGAAAACGTGTATTCACACCATAATGCCTAACACATAACAGAGTGGGTAATCCTAACTCTCA